GGGCCGGGCCGGCACCCCACCCCCTTAAATCCGCCCGTGAACAATACTGTAAATGGACGTACATACAGAATGTCTTGTAAATTACTTGGAACCTTTCAACAATATCGTTGTATTTGATAGTTCATATCAATGAATTTGAAGGTTCCCAAGGCTAGGTAGTACTAATATAGTACTAGTACTGTACAGTAGTAGTATTTAGTAGGCCTCCCAATGCCTAATTTAAATTAATTTAATCAGGGCCTATGCCTAGCCCCATACTGCAAAGTTTTTTTAATTGCGCGGAGAATATCTAAAAAATCAGGGAAAAAAATGTTATTCTTTCATATTTTCATAATGTATGATACTGTATGTATCAGTATTTTCTTTTTTTTGTATTTAATTAAAGCCCCATTCCTGGAAAAATTTCAGTTGTTAAGAAAAATCTGACTTATATAAAAGCTTATAAATATAATACGAAATTGCTAGTTTAACTAAATTTAGACATTCCTGAACATGAAAAAAATGTACAATCAGACCGAAATTTGATTTTTTGTGTTCCACAAAAAAATAAACGGAGATGAATTTTTTATGTTTGATTTTGCGATAGGTCTGCGAAGAAATATATAGGGCGCCAGAAACATTAGCCTATCAACACTGCTAGGCTAGGCCTAGCCTTACCTCGATTTAGGTTCTGTAATGAGATATAAAAAAAACCGGACATGATATTTTCTGTTGCTAGCATTGACACTTGAATATAATATTTCGTTGGAATTATTTAAAATTTGTTTAAAAAAATTATTCTGACCGAGATTTTGACAACTAAACAAATTCATATCTCAGGCCTACTCAAATGACCGCACTGTGCGGGATGCGAAGTACAAAAGCTAATCTCATTAGGGAGAGCGCACTTTATTGAATGTATAAAGTACACAAAAGTGAGAGCATTTCAGCGGATGCGATCTACCACCTCTGAATTTGCCTAGTAATGAAGAATTCGTCGAGAAAATGGTAATAATACATGCAAAATAGTCTCTATTTTTCATATTTTATATACATTTGCGTAAAATTAAAATTGTTGCCAATATTTTTCCATGGTTTATGATAATTAAAGTAATACATGCATTTTTCCTTTAAAAAAAATTCTTTTTTAGCGAAATTTTGCTGGGAATGGGGCTTTAAAATTGGAAATGTTCTAAACGTATCACCGCAAAGTTTTATGAAGGTGGGAATTCCAACTTCCGAATCAGAAATTATCGGCCAACATCGTCTGAGTGTTTGTTTTTTTGTAAAACCTAATCAGAGTCCAAGAAATGGTCTATGTGACCCCAATTTCTTTTCCGATATGGTCACTTTCCTATTCAGGATTTTGACAAGTGCCCTCACACGGATGTGCTCCTACCTACCTAGCACCAGGAATACCTAGCCTAGGCTAGTCCTTACTAGGCTAGTGTAAGTCGCTAATTAATTTTCAACATAATACTTAAAACATCGTAATTTTCGGACTTTTGGACAATAGAATTATAGGAATCTAATTTTAACAGATGCATGTAAACTCATACCTTCCAACTACAAATTCATAAAATTAAATTGCATCCTGCCTGTAAAATGTAATCATCCTTTTGCCAATTTTACACTAGTTTTCAACACCCCCTCTGAGTTTTCGACCGTTAGTTATTCGACAGTCAGTGCTATTTTCGCAATTTTCATCTTTTGGAAATATGACACCATATTCTTATTCTCCCTTGGGAATATCATATTTCATAAAAATTTGAATTCATAATTTGAAAAAAAGTTGTTTTTTGCCAACAGTTTTTGTTCGAGTGTCAGTGCTTCACACTGTTTACATCATAAAACAATATCATTTTACCAGTGACATATAAATGGATAATTTAAAAATTGTTATTAAATCTGGGGGTCGGGAAATGGGGGTCGGGGGTTCGAAAAGTGAAGTGGTCGAAAACTAACATAGGTCGAAAATTAGCGACTTTACCCTACTATGCTAGGCCTACCTACCCTCCTACTACACCACTCTAGGCCTTGCTAGTAGTCCTAATTAAGGCATTAGAGATTAGACTAGGCCTAGGCTTACTAGAGCATAGGGGCCTAGGCTAGGCCTAGCATTTGGTGGTAGGCCCTAGGCCTTCTTTCTAGGCCTAGCCTAGTTAGGTAGGCCTAGGCCCTTCACAATTCATTCAAGAAGGATCATTCACATATAGGCCTAGTAGGCCCTATTCAATCACGTTTCATAAGCAGAAATACTTCTGGCTAGGCATGGCATAAAATATAGTAGCTTGCCTCACTCTCAACAGTATAATATATGCCTATGCCCACCTCTCTAACGCGAGGCCTTATATTCTGCTTCTCGGGCCTAGGCTAGGCCTGGCTTCTTGGCCAAAGCCTAGCCTAGGGTCAGGCCTAGGCTATACGGGCTTAGCCTAGCCTAGGCTTGGCAATTAAAATAAAATACAACAATCAGCAGATGGGAGTTTTAGGACAAACTAGAATTAAAATTAACACCAAAGAATTATTAAATTCAAATCTTGTAAAGTTGTAAATTAATTATAATAATAATTAAGTACACAAATTATTTTTTATATAACAGAACAACTTACTTTCTAATTCTGATTTTTATGTACAAATCAGCCTCTCTCACTGTACAACTACTAGGCCTACACTGCACTACGCAGTCAGTTTTGCCCATCAAAATAAACCCGGATGGACAATGGTAGAGGGCGCAGTGTAAGTACGGTAGATCTAGCTGCACTAGGAATTCATTTTGAAAATTGCTCGTCTTATATTTGATTTTTATGCTTTATCTTTTTACTTGTATTTCTTGTTTTGTATGTGAACGCACAGTGTACGAGCGTGTGTTACCGATATAAAGGTTTTTGGGGTCCACTCGCTAGTCATAGATTTGCGGCATAAGGTACAGTTCACAAGGTTCGCTAGTCATAAAGACCATTGTTTATAGGGTTCACTATTAAAAGGTCCACTATTTTTTATGGTCAGATGCCATTCCATATTTCCTCCATGGTCAGAGTCAGGCTCGGCTGCAGGTGCTATTGAGCAGTGTGTGCGTGACACAAGCAATGGTTGAATATGTTAATAAACAAGCTGAACGACAGAAAACCAAAGCTATATACTTTCGTTCAAAGTAGTTTGACTTATCACCTCTTGAATTCAATTCCATCAAAGTTAGCAACTCTACTGTTCAAAAACTAGCTAAATCAGCAAGGAATATTGACGCACTAGATGAAACACACATTTAATCAACATATCTCTCTTACCGTTCTATCTATTATCATTTAAGAAAATCAACCATGATTATTAGAAAATACTTATCTTTGGAATCCTGCACCATCATATAGGCTTATGCAGTCTCTCTGCCAAACTTGACTATGGGCATCGGAAGCGGTTCGGCTGGTCCGGTTTTGGCCGGACCAATAATTTACAACAATATCGTTTGTGAAGCAAAATTCTACTTTCTCTGACGCAATCAATCATACTTGCGCATTCAATAAATAAAAGTATATTTGATTTGATTTTGATTTGATTCAATTTAAATATGGAACAAATTTGAAAAAACTCATTTTTTACTGGTTGTTAAGTACCGGTATCAATCTATAGCTTAGGCCGATTTGATTCACCACTTAAATAATATTCGAAATCTCGACTCAGAAATACCAGGATGGTGTCCGGTGGGGAATTTTATTTTATCTTGTTTTATTTCAACAATATTTACAGACGGAGGTAGCCATTCCAACTTCCCCGAAGTGAGGCTGATGTTCAGGGGCCCTCATTAAAAAATAAAATACAACATCACACATACACGAATAAATGTTATATAT